TATATGTTTTTGTGATTTCTATTATATAAATGTAAAAAGTATGATTCACCTGTGCTTTATACTTTAATTAGTTTAGTTTAACATTTTAAGAAAATGTTTTCCTTACATTATATATATATATCTAGCGTAAAATGAATTAAAAATTAAAAACACTTGATAAAATTATATATAGTTAGGTGTAATTTAAAATTATTTATAAGTAAAATCCAGTCTTTTTTCATTGTGAACGAGATGAGTGATAACATCGTTCTTGATTTTTGTTTTAATTTTAAGGAATCTATTATCTATTAACATCATCGTAATCGCATTTAAGTTTTCGTGATACACAGTATTCTTCAGAAATTCTTTTATTTTTTTTAATGTTGGTAAACAGCGTTTAATCTCCATTGTAACCATAGGAGTAGTCAAGAGAATTTCTATCATTGTAGTCATTTCACTAAGAACATTATTTAATTTGTTATCTATTAAAAATTTGAATAAGTCAATTAATTGATTATAATTATGCATGCTGTCCTTATCGTAAAATATTTGAAGTTCAATTTTAAATTTTTCTTTGTTGATCATGGGATATGCTTCGGTAATTAATTTTATTTCTTTTGCAGGAAATTTATTTTTAAAATTATTTATGTTATCCTTGTTAAATAATGTAGCAGCTGCTAAATGTTTAATGAAATAATATCTATTTTGTATATCAATACATGTACAATCGCATATTTGTTTTGCATCAACAATGAACTCCTTTACAAAATTCTCACAGTATTCCGAATTTTTTATTGCCAAAATAGCAGTTTTAAACGTTTTTATATATTCAGGTACTTTAAATATATTCATTGCAGGAGATTTTATTTCATTGTAAATTTTTTCAACGTGAGGTATTATCTGATTAAAAAGCTCCAACCAGAACATGAATTTTCTATTATTTAAACAATATAAAATTCCTGCGGCTTCCGAAATAGTTTGGTCTTTATTTGACGTTGATAGAATTTCATTAAAGCAGTTTCTTAAAGGTTCCAAATATTCGTAAACTTGTTTCACTGTGTTTATGTTAAAGTTCCATCTTTTATTAGGTGGTATCGAAGTGTTAACGTTTATATGCTTATAAAGAATTTGTAAATATTGTGGTGATTTCAAAAAAAATCTTGATATAGCATTAATATAAGAGAAACAAATTTTGGAGTTAATCGTAGTACTTGCTATATTTTTCATTATAGGATTCGGCAGGTGATCATAACAATTAATAAAATGTGCATTTTTATAGAATTTTTTTATATTTGTTTGAATGATCATTTTTTTACCATTCATAAAAATTGCACCATCAAATGTCTGAGCTATTAATTTTTCTTTATTATTTCGAAAAATAATATTTAATTGTTTTATGATACATTTCGATAAGCTATTTGCAGTTTGATTTTCTGGAGTAAAGAATCCCCAAAAGCGTTCAAGTATTTTTGTATTCAATAAGTACCGTAAAACAATTACCAACTGATAATGTTCTGAAACATCCGTTATGTCATCAATTATAACAGCTACGAATGATGTGTTCTCAACATCTTTAATTATTTCATTTTGATATATTTGAAAAAGATAATTGGGTATATCATCCCGAAGAGTTTGAAAGGTTCTATTGTTATTTAAATTCTTTTTAACATGTAAATTTGATGTAATTGCAATATTTATTAATTCATTAAATTGGTCTTGAATTGAAAAATAATTAATTTCGTTAAGTCCGCTTAATGAAATCATAAAATTTGTACAATACAAAATACATTCAATTGTATCGTTTAAAATTTCACGATTATATGACACCTTTTCGTTGTGATCTTCAATAAAAATTTGGGAGGATTTTATTCGTTTACAACCTGTTTGTTTTAAAAGCGTCAAAGAAATACAATTCTTGATATGATTATTTGAATCTTCATGTTTTTTAATCCTTTCATTTATTTTCTTTATATTTGCAACCCCATTATTCGTCCATTCTTGTTCACCTCCGAACAACAAACATGGAAAACAAAATAGTGCATTTCTTATTTCACAACCACATAGCCAATTTTTCACTTTATATAAATTTCTAACGTACGTAATATCTTTAAACATATCATCGTTAAATATAATATCGGGTAAAGGACGTTCTAGAGTTCTTATAAAAATTTCTTTCTTAAAAGTTAACTTTGAGAATTTAAGAGTTTGTAATTCAGTTACAGTTCTTACCTCTGTAAATTTTCTTTCTGTCGTCATAATTTTAAATTATCTTAATAATGTTCTACAATTAAATAAGAACTTTGGCCAAATGTTTAATTATAATGTACAAATATTTGAAGTCACATAATAAATATGTTAAGTTCTACGAATACGTTATTACTTGCGTAACTTGGGTATAAATAGTGAGACTGTGCAATGAAAATTACCGAATTACGTTATTACCTTGAAATATACAAATAAACATATGTTTACGTGGATAGCAATATCACATTGTGATATAAACATAATATATTTTAAATTGATAAATGTATTTCTATTTAGATCGGTGCATAATTATCAGTCCTATGAAATTTAGCGATTTTTCATAATTTTTTGTTCCTACCTAAAAGTACATACTTATTTTTTTATTTCAAATAATAATCGATAATCACAATCATATTCGCGTTTCTATTATCTAAAGCAAAGAAGAAGAAAAAAGGTATCCTTGTGTAGAAACGTTAAGAAAAATCGTCAATTTTTTCATTGAAAAAAAAAATGCATAAATAAAATGTCGGATAATTGTAATTGTATCGAGAAAAATGAAGGGTGTTGCAATTTTGCATTACCCATATACGAGCCATTTCTCTGTATATATATATTAATATATACATATTTTCATATAGTACTTGAAATGGTCTTTTTGTTTTCTTTTTTTTTTTTAGGTGGACGGAAGAAGAAGATTTCGAGGAATAAAGGGTTCATAAGTAAACGTTTTTACTTGTACCACTTTTTTGTGATACGTGAAACGGTGGTATATAATTATATTTTCTTGTAATATAATAATTTGTTCCTTGTATATATAATTTAAAATACGTGCGTATATATATATATATAGATTTAATAGAAAGATATCAGAATAATGAAACATTAAATATTACAAATAGTAAGTATGGACAAAAAAAATTTTAATAATACACAACGAAGCAGGAATAAATGCGAAATCATTATTTTTTGGAATAATGTTAGAAGTAAATTTATTGTTAGCATCCTCCATCGTATTCGTTGTACATGATATATAATAAAATTTTGTTTGTCGTCGAGATTTATCGCATATAAGAGGTTCCAACGTGCTGCCGAGTAAGATTTCTATTTCGTTCATACAAAGCATCACACACATTTCTTGTTGTTGTTGTTGTTGTTGTTATTTGGTATAAGAAAACAAAGATCAAAAGAAGAGACAAGTTTTTAAAAAAAAGTTCGTATATATATATAAGTGTTGTATCGAATTAAAATTATTCTTTCTCGTAAATCCTGAAAAAAATCTGAATGGCGGTGTTTATCGTCAATGAAATCGTGCAGGCAAGAAGATACGAATTTTTTTTTTCTTTTTTCTTTTCTTCATTATTATTATTATTATTATTATTACAATTTTTATTTCGCGTTTAACTAAAAATCAACACGATTCACGAATTACTTATAAGCATTCATTATCTTGAATTCGAGGTGTGAAGAATTTGTATTGATGAACGATACACCCACAACGCTTGTGATCACAGTAAAAGTCGAATGTTAAACCTTAAAAAGTTAAGGGCTTGTTCTTGTTCCGCTTGTTTTATATGCACTTTTATCCGTTTATTTATATAATTTTCGTTAGCCCTCCTCTCTTAATTAAACCCCCTCCCTCCCTACCCACCCCCCACCCCCTTAAATCAGAGCCTTAATAAAAATCTAATTATAAGATAATGTTTGACGAACCGCGCCTGCGCAACCCGTCCTAGCTATTGTCTGTATGCAACAAGCGTATATTGACTATACGTTTTTTATTTTTATTTATTCTTTTATTATTATTATTATTATTATTATTATCTTTGTACTACAATGCTGACTTAGGACTACTCTTTTTTTATTTTTTTTCTCTCTCTCTTGTCTAAAAAGACTACGTATTTAGGTACGCTCTAAAAAAAGTTTTATTTTATTTTATTTTTTTTTTCTCCTTTAAAAGCTTCCCGGTCTCGTTTTTGATTTCTTATTTCTCTGTTTTTTTTTTTTCTCATTACGATAAGAGACGGGAATTGATTCGAAAGTTCGAGGAATTGAAAATTTCGCTGTTATTACGAATCGGCTTTAATATAATGGTGCCATTTGCATGGCATTTTGTCGATCGTAATTTGCGTTTACGCGAGTATCGGTAATTCCTTTCTTTTTTTTGTTTCCTTTTTTTTTGTAAAGTACAATTTAATGTATAAAGTCGAAATATGAATATAATTAATTAAAGATTGGCGTTATCCTAAAAATGCTGTTCTCAATTATAATTATCTAAATTCCGTTTAGAGCTTCTAAGTGAAGTCCTAGTGCACGTCTAGTGTCATGTTTAGCGCATTCCAAGATTCATTTCAAAAGAAGACCATTTTTACCCTCTCCCCAACCCCCTCCCATGTATTCGCAATCGTTTTGTGATATATCCCGTTGCCCGTTCGAGTATCACAGTTTATCGAGTATGATATGTTAATATTAGCGTTAAATCGATAGTAATAAAAGTGGTTATTTTTTTTTTTCTTTCTTTCTTAATTTCTTTCTTTTCCCCGTATATTAATTAATTATATATGTATACGTATTATATATATGTATATATATATGCGTTCAACGTAAATCGGTCTGGTTCGATAATGAACTGACCGATTGTATGATATTGCTATGATCATGTTATAAAATCGAAAAATACAAATGGCCAGTTGGCGTAACTAGGCGAGCAGAGACGTTAAAAATTGAGATATATAATATATGTTTGTTTTTTTTTTTTAATTCTTTTCTTTTCTTTTTTTATTACTCAAATATCGTCTAAAGCATTATTGAATACGTGCGAAGTATTGAATTGATTTTTTTTTCTTTTCTACGCTTCCCCCTTTCCGACCTCCTCCCCCCCCATTCCCGTCCTTTATTATTTTACGCTGAAATTTGTTACGAAGTTCCATAATATATCTCTTTCTCTTTCTAGTAGCATTATCCCCGATGTATAATATACAAATACGATTTATTTTTATGGATATAACAATTGTTGTTTGTTCGTTGACGAATATTCGTAACCGAATTTTTCTTTCCTCTCTCGTACAGATCTGAAACGTCTCATAGAAAAATCAGAGGTTATAAATTTTCTGGTAGAAAATGTTTTCTCGTTTGCTTTCTAAAAAAAAAAAAAAACAAAAAAAAAATGTTATCATAATAAAATGTGTCGCGCCGTTACGTATGTGTGTGTTAGTATAAATTCTATCAAGATAAAGCGTATCTTCGATAGTTCGTAGCAATATTGTTTGACAATAAAATTTAATAATATCTATGATAGAGAAAGAGAGAGACAGAAAATGAGAGAAAGAGAAAGAGAGAGATTCAAGTTTATCCCAAAATTACAATCACGCGTGTATGTATGCATGTGTGTGTATATATATAAATATACGCGCAGAGTAAACCGATAAGGATCATTTTTTGGCTCACCTAGTTACGTTCCTGCGTATTATATAGAACGTTCGAGCTTTTTTAGGGAGAAATCAGAAACATACGGAGGGCCTGTAAAGGCCAGTGTATCCGCATAATCGTGCACGCAATGCCGGCAATAATATTGCCGCTGCGGATAGATTGTCTTGCAGTTGGGAACATTCGCAAATCAGTAGATACATTTTGTCACCCTGCGACATCGATTTGTGCAATGTTATTCGCCTAAGTCCAACCGATTTTGGTAAATATCGATACATCATTCTGGCACCTACAAACCAAAATTTGTTAATTATTATATTATTTTAATTATATTACAATATAATATACAGGTAACCCTCTCACAAAAAAATTGCGAAAATTTTGATACAGCCATTGTATTTCTATATTAATGGATAACACACAACAATGGTTGATTAAAATATTAAAAAATTAAATTATTCTAAAATAATAAATTTTGGGTTTCATATAATATGGTTCAATTCAACACAGTATTTTCTAGGAAACTATTTACCTTGTTATAGGAGGTTTACCTGTATATATATTTAATTATATTATTAAATTACAAATATAAATAACAAAAAAGTTAGATTGAAAGTATGAAAGAAAGAAAATATATTACAATATAATATACAGGTAACCCTTTCCTACAACATGATACAAAAAATTGCGAAAATCTTGATGCAGCAACTGTATTTCTACATTAATGGATAACACAATAGTTGATTAAAATATTTAAAAATTAAATTAATTTAAAATAATAAATTTTAGGTTTCATGTATTACTATCTTCTAATAATATCTACCTTGTTATAGGAGGTTTACCTGTATATATATTTAATTATATTGTTAACTATTATATTATTAAATTACAAATATAAATAACAAAAAAGATTCGATTGAAAGTATGAAAGAAAGAAAATAATTGGGTAAGTACCGCTCCAATAAAGCCAATTTTGTTCGAACTTGAGACCATCGTCACCTTCGAATACTTTGAAGATCGAAACTATGTAACCGGTGGACGGAATAGGTGGTCTACCACCTGGTGGTTCCAACGGTGGTCTGGCTATCGTAGCAACTTCGTTGAATAAATCCAAAGTATGACTAGCAGCATATCTAAGGTCCCGTGGATCGAACTTTCTCAAGGCCGCGCATTGAACTTCGTTGTAAAAATCTAGAGGATCCGTGTTCTGCTTATTTATCAGATAATACGTTATGAACGGGAAGTCAGCTGTAACAATGTTACATATATAAATATCATTTTATAATGCAACTTTATAAAATGTGTACTAAAATTTCAATAGAATAATATCATCAAATTATTTATCAAATCGCATGTTACAATAAATTAATTACGTTCGGATCGTGTGATAACTTTTGTATGTTAAAATATATTACATTATTTAAAAGTAATATATATATTGATAAAATATTATTACGTGTTGATTTATAGTTAAATTTTGTTGATTTTAGTTAAAATTATAATTTTGGAAGTAAATCATTTTCTAGAGATTTAGCTTACCGTTTTTTTCCATATTCGTTAGTAAAATACTTTGAGAAGCGGAAGGTGCAATCTCTGCAACGAGTTCTGCAGCGGTGTCACGTTGCAGGACGAGTGGTCTTGAAACAGGAGACTCTACCAAAGGATCCAAGGGTTCCAAGGGTGTCATGAAATGTGCAAGAACACATTGCTTTGGGTCCTCTACCTCCAAAATCGAGAGTGGACTGCCTGATCTTTTCTTGTCCGCTATTGGGGCGCTCTTTAATCATGTCAAACAAATAAAAATTTTAAAAAGAAGAAAAAAAAAGAAAAAAAATATTGAAATATCAAAGAAATGAAATAAACTCGAGTTGAACGTTATTTGAATAATTATTTTTGATTGGTGTTGAATCCAATACACAACCACACTGCGTAATAGAATTACGTTGTTGGTTAAAACACGATGCGATTCAATTTAATTTCGTTCGGTATTAGCTCCACGAGTACTTAAAATCTATTTTTAAGTCAAAGACGTTTGTATTCGCAAGGTTGATTCGCGTGATTCTCTTTCTCTCTTTCTATTTGTTTCTCTTTAGTTACTAACTTGTGCATTCCAGTTTTAACAGGTGCACACTCGTTCATTTAGATTATCAAAGTACCTGTATATGTATCTGCTTTTAGACAAATCACTTTTTTCAACCTTGAAACAAGAGTTCATGTTTTGTTGTTCTTTTTAATTTTAATTAAAGTTAATTCGAAATTTTGGATTTGATGCATTTCATCTCGAGATTTGATTTCTTGTTGTCGTAGTTGTTATTGTTGTAGTTGTTTTTGTTATATTATATTGTTGTACTCGAAATAATTTCGAATATATTCGAATATATTCGAATTGAATTTGATCAAAAGTTAAACCTACCGGTACACCAGCTGGTAGAAATCTTTCCAATGATGCGAGTGGTATGATGAAGCAGTCTCGGTCCAACGTGGCTAGGGAAATCGGTTCACCACGTGGTGGACTATTACCGGATACGACAAGGGGTGTATAGGCACCGGAAGATTTATTACCGCTAAATGACACCTGGAAATATCGATAAACACGAATTTCCTAATTGATTTTAATAATCATTTTATTAATCGTACTAGAGGAATCAATTAACAAGTTTAAACTTCAAATTGGTTTTCCTGTACTAAAGAAGTAAACTATTAAAATTTTGTTTGATAGTCTTCGGTTATGTTCAATTTATATTTTACTACTATCTTACGTTGGATGTAAATTTTATTAATATATGTTATGTATATTGTACATTAAATTCTCGTATAAAGTAAATTCCTACAAGAAGGTAAGGATATTGTTAGGGATTTCTTTTTTTTTATATATATAACGCGATTCTCGTATAATGCACTACTCTATAAAAAAGTAAATTAATTTTTAAATAATAAAAATATAATTAAATAATAGATTTTTATATATATATATTTAACTATCATCCCGTTTTAATTGGTTGTAAGTGTTTTTCGCAAAATTAGATTACTATTTTAATAAGGTACGATATTGAAAATAAAATTTGAACACTACGATATTATTTATGTTATTACGAGATAATATTATTATATTATATTATACGAGAGTTATATTTTTTACTATTTCGAAACATGATATTTGGATTTTAATACCGATCGTGAGAAAAGTAATTCGTGTTACGGAATTAGAGTTTTCTTCTTAAAAAAAGAAAAAAAAAAAGACAATAAGAAAAAACTGTTCGTGACATTGAAAAATTGGTTAGAAAAGTACTATCTATCATCATAATTTATCGCGATAATTCTACGAGGAAAATAAAAGTATACAAGAAAATAAAGAAAACAAGAAATTTTTCGAAGTAAAATAAAATTTCGCACGATATTGTTCTTTTACAACTTAGTACGTGTAACATCAACGTGTGTAATCTTAAATGTAGGAATCTCGTAATCTGTCGATCTCGTACGTACACGCGTATTTTATCGATCGGCTCGTAAAACAGAAATGTTTTTCCTTTTCCCGATCGATATTTATTGTTCGTATTATTTTTCTCTATAAAATATACAAACATCTTTAAATATTTAATACGAACGATACGATTAAATATATATATAAAACTATTGTTTTTCTTTATAATTTGATTTCATAGAAGACAAGTAACGTAATTGGTTTGCAACAAATAAGAATTTTAAATTGATATTTATAGATTTTTTTTTTCAACGTCTTGTTAGTAATATAAAAATGAGACAAACAAATTATCAAGAAATACCACCGTCGCATCGTCGACAGATAATAATAATAATAATAAAAAAATCCAAAAATTGAAATGACGCGAACGAGATAATGCGAAAAAAAATAGGAGAAAATATTTTTCCACCATTTAACACGTTCTATGTCTGTGTAATTTACTGCACGTCAAATGAGATCCACAGTGTGGCGTGCAATAAGATAGGAGAACTTTGCGTGCCTATTTGATCTTGTGTAGGTGTAACTTTATGTTACTCGTTCGGTACACGTTCTGCCGTTTCCTCTATAACTTTCTCGTCCTTGTAAAATTATCCTCCAATCGGCGAAGCATAGTAATGCACTAGCACTACACCATCACCACCACCACCACCACCACCACCATTACCATTACCACATTTTCTTCCTTTCCCGTTCCTTGTGATTTGTACGATTCAAACGAGAATGATCTTTTAACTTCAGATAAGAAACTTAGAATGAAAATCGCAATACATTTAACAAACTCCGGTATATCAAATGTCTTTGAAACATGATAAGTATTATACTTGATTTAATTTACACAATTCAAACATTTGTCATAAATTATATTATTAAATATAATTTTGATCATCTCGAAATGAAAATAATGTAAAATGAATCAAGAGAAGAGCAGGACGCTTGAAATATATTTTTTGCTTATAATTTTATGAAAAAAAAAAAAAAGAAAAAAAAAACTTCACAAGGAAAGTAATTGCATTATTTCATGGGGTAAAATGTAATGGTTGAAAGGTCATTTATTTTTATTTCTTTTTTAAATATTCTTATAAAGCATTTATAAGATAAAGAATTTAATGACCTTAATGACCATATAATGTCGATGATTTATTTTCCATTTATTCAGATCATTTCGAACACGTGTACTCTGTGTAATTAGTTATAATTTCTTAAAATAAAAATAATAAAAAAATGGTATAGTAGTATTCTCACATTTGAATACGAGTGTGTGACCCATCCAATGTATTTTAATTCTTTTTAAATGTAAATATCTCGAGAATAAATGTTCGGAATGATATGACCACCACGAGGCTCATTTTAATTCATTTTTTTTCTTCTTTATTTAAACTAAAGATATATATTCAGATGTCTTGTTTCTCATGACTCACAAATTTCGATGATTTCTTTCAGAGATATTCTATATAGGGAACGTATAACAATGTATTTGTTTTTTTTTTTTTTTTTTTTTTTCATGAAAATATTTCAAAAGGAAACCCTTGACACGACTCTTCTGCTCTTGTCTAACTGAGTTCTCTCGTATCATGATTCATAATGCAGTATAATAATTGTGGTGCAGTCATGAATCGAGTTACTACGAGTTATACGATATAACAATGTCACAAGTAACGAAAATTCGAATAGTGAAGTTTCATTGGTTCAAAGTGAACGCGTAAGAAGGATAATTTGGACGTAATGATATGATGCATTTCTAAATATATATATACGTAAAAAGGGATGCATTAATATATATATATATATATATATATAGATAGTTATTTATACGAAATTAACATAACGCGTATATTAACACCCCGAAACGTTACGGCTTGCACGAAACCGCGATTTGCAATGAAATATCGTCACGCGTTAGTTTTGCCAACGTTAAAGCAACGAGTTATTTATTTTAAACGAAGTTTTATGAAGATATCGCGTGAGAGATGATACACATACACATATACACACATCGGGTCTTTGAAACATCTCTCATACATTTTCATTGCGTCCTTAAAGCGTGTTATAAAATTAATACCTTTTACCGTAACGCGAATTAAATGTACACCTTGATCGTATTGCGATGTAAGTAGGATACATTAAAAAAAAAAAAAACAGATTAAGGATAATAACAAAATTGTAGAGATTACGTAACGAGCTTGACCGATAAACATATGAAATTTCAGAAAGAAGAAAAAATAATCAAAATCAAGAACGTATAAGATTAAAATAAATATTAATAGGATATTAATAAAAGATTTGTCTGTTAAAAATATAAACAAATATAACAAATTGTGTAATACCTGTCTAGAGGCAGTCGGGGTTGCCGGTTCGGACGGTTCCTTCGATTGTTGATTTTGCTTCCTCTTGCTTTGATTGGCCGAGACTGGGCCTTGCGCTGTGGCAGAATTTCCCCCACCACCGCCACCCCATTTGATAACGTGGGGGCCAGAATTGCGCCTGGGCGAGGGTCCCAATCGTTCGCCAGCATCGGAATCGGGTGGTGCACCCAATGGTCCACCTGTGGGTGGTGATAGGAAGAGATGAGTTCGATAACCGAAACTCTGGTGCTCGTGATCGCCCATTGACGGAAAATAGCCGAATTCTCTGCTGCGTCTTATTGCTCCGCGTCCAGATATTACCGATTGACCTCTTGTAATACCGTAACGATTTCCAAGACCCAAACACGTTACACCACCATAAACTCCACTTCCCCCTCCTGCTCCTCCGCCTCCTCCACCACCACCTCCTCCAAATGTCCCGCCGAGTTTACTCTCTCCCAATCCACCACCACCAACACCACCTCCGGTTCCCGTTAAACCACCACCGGCACCCTTCTCCACGCCGAAGTTCTTGCGGAACATAAGATTCATGATTGATGCTGAATTAACTTTTTCTTCCCTTTTTCGGCTAGATTAGTTAGATAACCGATGACATATTTTAACTTGATAGAAATAAGCAACGCAAAAGCAATGACGATGATGATACTTGTTGTTCTTGTTCTTGTTCTTGTTATTCTTGTTTGTTGTTTGTTGTTTGCAGGTGCAGTTTAATTAACGTCATATGCCGTTTATCTTATTAAAGGATCATTTTATGATGCCCCGTGTGTGTAATGAATAGATAATAGAACCTGTTTAATGTACGATCATCCATCGCGTATAGGTCAGACCACGTTATTGACTCCCTTTGCGCAGTAAAGGGAGTCTTTATTATTTATCAATCGTATTTCGTTAAAACTTGACTGAATAATCATCCCTTCCTATCTTACTCTCGAGGATAAGTATCATATGTAAACTCTTTTGACGATATAATTGGTCATATATATATCATTACGTTTAATCTTTGGAAGAATTTAAATTTATCATTGAACAGTTACGTGAATCTATGTTGTGTAACAGATGGAATAAGAATAAAAAGATGCAAAATGAAGTAAAAGATAGAGAAACTGATATTTAATTAAAGTATTACAAACTATTCAAAGTATTCACGCGTTCATCGACCGAATTATTTTCTTCGAAACCTTGACCTCGGTAAATGAACGATACTAAGGTAAAACTAGAAACCTAGATCAGCAGGTTCGCGCACTACTATTACACCTTCATAGACTGTCGACTTGATACTGCCAGATCGAACGTAACCTCTCTTCCTCGCCCTTCTTTTCTACCTTCCTTCCTTCCTTCCTACTTTCCTACCTTCCTTCTTTACTTCAACGAGCCAAATTCATAACTGTTATATTAACTGCGTTCACTCGCGCAAAACCGTTTCGCCTACTCTCACACATGAACAACCCCTACTATCCATTTTGGAATCGTTTAAATTTTTGTCAAACCGTTGGCTAATCGTTCGATCCAGTTGTCTCTCTCTTTTGCTTACTCTTCGCTAATCTCGTGTTAATAATAATTATTAATATACCGATTGAAATAGATTTTAAACGTGCACGACCAATGACCGCTTGCTTTTTTTTCTTTTTTTATTTATTTATTTATTTATTTCGATAACTTTAGAATATAGACGAATATTTTTCTAAAACAGAGAACGTTAATTTAGATTCTGGTATTATAGTTAAACTTATAAAACGAATAACCAAATTGTTATTTTTTAATAGAGAAATATTTTTCCAAGGATAATCTCAAAAATATCATCAATCCAGGTAACACCAATCGGCTTGTAACGTGGATAAATTGACGTCTATTCGTTTATTCCGATTAGAATTCGATTAGAAAATCCTTTAACCCTGTTTTTACTTTAGGAAGGTGTCACTTACACGTGTCGAGTCTCATTTTAGGATTATAAATCAAACGTCAGGTATACTAATTACATTACTATTATACGTTCAATTTCAGTATAGTTATGTTCATGAAACTTTCGTCGAATCGAAATGAAGGAAAAATTTTCGAATATTTTGAAAAATATTCCTAACGAATTACTTTAACGTATTTTGTCAAACCTCGACTTTATCTATCCCCATGTAACACTTCTTTTCTCAAATTGAATTATATTCGTGATCCTCTTAACATAAATACTTTGTATTATTCACTTTCCTATTTCTATTTCTCTCTTTCTCCCTGATTTCATTATATTTTGCATCTTTTTTTTTTTACTTGGCCTCTTGGCGTCTTCTTAATGTCTTTGGCAAGGTAGACAATAAATAGTCAACGAGAACTTTCAAAGCTACAAGTAGTATTATAATAGTAGTAGTAGTAATAGTAATAGTAATAGTAGTAGTATGCAAGGTCTGTTATGAGTAAGAAAAGCATACGTAACTATACATAGAACACGATATATTATAAATGTATGTTCCTTTTGTCATTATTAGGATTACATCTTGGTATCTTCTGTTTCTTATTTGTTTTATTATTTAAATTCTCCTAACATGTAAAATAAAAAAAACTGAATTCAATCATCGCGAAGTTTACATTAATTGTAAGATACCAATATCAAAATTAACTTTTTTTTTTTAGGTTACACATATTATTGGATAAATAAAATACAAGGGGGTTGACACGAAAAAAACATACATGATACACGACAGACGAAAAAACAAGGAACACAAAAATTAGATATATAAGTTTCCATATTATGACGGCATGTCATACGTACACCAGATAGATATGGGGGTGGTGGAGGGGCAGGAGGGGGGAAGGAGGAAGAGGAAAAAAAAACAGACTGACTGGACTGACTGTTTATTTCTTTAAAGATAATACGGACACACTCACGAAGCACGTGTTCTTCGACACAGTTAGATCGATAACTTTATTGAAATATTCACGAGTTACGTGATGCACCACCAGTAGTAGTTGGTCTTGGTTCTCTTAGGTCATCAAGGTTTTTCTTCTTCTTGTCCCCCGAAGAAGGTCACTTTATTGATGCAGCTAGAAAACCGGGGTTCTGAATCCTTCCTTCCTTCCTTCCTTCCTTCTTTCCTTTCTTACCTTCGATCGAATTAATTATGACAGCCCTGAAGTGTGTTTCTTTTTTTCTCCCCTAACTAGCTAGCTAGCCTAGCCTAGCCTAGCTTAGTCTAGCCTTGAAAGTTAACAAAGTTTCTTTTTTTTTTTTTTTTTTAACGCAGAAATTTAGAAATTAAATACGAAATAATGAAACACTTTGAATGGGTAATTAAATGAATGAAAAAAAAAATAAAATAAAATAATATAGAAAGAGATAGTGTGTGAGGAGAGGGGTGTAAAAAAAAAAAGGAACGATTTTAGAATCACGCTAGTCCGCACGAGTGGCACCCCGTTCACTGCGAGGAACGTGCACGAGGCGTCGCGACGTTTAACCCAGGGCTGTAGAAAAGTGGGGCTCTCGAGACGGCTTTTTGTATCAACACATAGATACTCCGACTAAATTGTTATTCGAGTTTCTTTTTTTTTTGTCTTCGAAAATCATTTTTCTTAACATTTTTATTCTATTATTTGCAATTACATAATATCTATTCATTTTTTGTCTAACGATATTGCGCGAACGTTTTAATACACGATCTCGATATTTTTATCTTTATATTTATATAATATAAAAAATTATATAAACGTAACAACACTTATTTTTGTTACAATAGTATTTCTTTTTCTTTTTTTTTTTTTTTTTCGACAAGTTATTACGATATACATTTACGATAATCATTTTTAACGTATACGAATTTATTTCGAACAAATTCCTCGCGTTTTCTTTTACGTTAATACACGAGGATGAAAAAGAAATAAAAGAAAAAAAGAAAAGTATAATAAAATACGTCGTACAGAGTGAGTATTCTTTTTCTATTTTCGAGATCAAGATCTTAGCCGCGTATCTGTCCTTTAGTAGCTTGCCAAAAGTCACTCCTGACGCACGAATTTTGGCACTCACTTGAACGAAAAACGAAACGTTTTTCTTTGCCGAAGCTTAAAGCTTTGCGAAATACCGATGACAGAAACATAGTGAGGGTTAGTGAGATAGAAACAAAGAAAAAGATGGGATGAGGGGAGGGTGTTAGTGTTAGACAGAGAAAGAAGACTGTGGAAGATATATTTATATATATATATATATATATATAGAGAAAAAAAATATATTCGTTCGTTCTCTTTCTCTCGTCACGATTGTACTACTGTTTGGTTGAAATTTATGATCTTTCCTACTCCAGTTGGCAAACTCTGCAAACTTAAAATGCGAGATTCATCTCGCAGCCAGTTTACTTCTTGGATATTGAATAGTATGTCTGTCTCTCTCTCTCTCTTTTTCTTCTTCTTCTTCTTCTTCATTGGATTTATCTTCTATTGCATTGCATTTCTTTTTATCTAATTTTTTTTCTTTTTCTGTATCATCGAACCGAATTTTTTTTTTTGGTTTTCTCCCCTTCGAAACGCGAGATTCTATCGTCTCGTTTGCTTTTGCGTTAAATTCCAAAAATAAATATTTAAATGAAATTGATTTGTTGTTCACGTTGAAAACAACAGAACGAATCGTTTCCAAGAATTCGAATTTATTTATTTATTATAATTTTTGGAATATATCGAACGATATTAAGGTGAATCTAAAGTTCGTTAGTTGGTTTTTTTTTTCTTGTTTTTTAATTTAAAAAGTAAATTTTGTACAAAGAAACACATTTCGTTATGCAGTTTCAACGCAATTAACTCACGAACTTTTTGGTTCAACCTCTAATATTTGTTAGATTTGAAATACATTTCATTTTTTGTGCGTGTTTGTTCATAATTTTTTTGGTTTTGTGGTTCATAATTACCTTTTTGTTCCTGTTTGTTTTCTTACGTAGTTTTTTTTAACTTGTAATACTTGTTTATTAATCACACTCACCGCAAACACTATGTCGAATGTTATGCACTTTGCAATCGACTACTGCTATCGAATTGTCCATTAGAACTTTATTAGTAAACGATTCGTATTAGACAAAAGAAAATATAAAACTGGCAACGAGACAAGCGTGAAAAACATACGCTTTTAACGTTGCGAATGTACTTTATGGGACTGTATACCCTGTGAAAACTTAATCTTGGCAAACAGTTTGAAGAACTATAGTCATCGGTGATATTAATAGATACTTTTTCGAGCATGCTAAAAACACACACGCACATACACACACAAGACGAATATTTCACGAACTATATATCCTAACCGTTGACGAACTGTCAATGTTTAACAAATAAAAATAAGATAAATTATCTACAGAAAATTCGTTCTTTTTTTTTTTTCTTTAAGTTCTCAAAATAAAATAATTTGAAATAAATTTCTAAACGTAGAGATCCAATTGTTAAACAATTGTAAACAACTAGTAATCCGTTAATACAAAATTTTTGTATTTATTAATATCGTAAATTTAATATTTATATATTGTTCGAATAGAAAATAAATAAATAAAAAAATAATTATTAAGCAACACACAATATAACATAATGTAAATGGCGTCGTTAAAGTTCGATGAAGTTCAAGTGCTCATCGATTATTTCTTGCTATAGTAGTAACACATGTTGTATGACATACGTTGCTCACGCTATCTACATTTATCGCGTTCTTAGGGTGCGGCATTTTGCTATACATAGTCATTCGTCAGTGTACATATACATCCTTGTAATTATTGGAAAAGAAGTTCTGTAACATGTATATATATACTCCTATTTGGAAAATTAGTTTTCATTTATTTTCATTTATTTTCATTTATGAAATATTTGAACTTTCAGATACTAATATAAATAACATTTGTATTCAATTATATTCTAATGAATTCATCAAATTAAAGAGACTCGTAAAGAAATCTTTTTTTTTTCTGTTATAATTGCTATAGAGATAATTAGATACATACTTATATAAATTTCTGCAAATATTGGTATATACCGAATGTATTAAAATGTTTGTATATATAAACGCGAATAAAAAAGAAATTTATTCTTTCGAAAATAAAATTGTGGTTAACGATAATCATATTATTATTTCGTAAAAACGAATATTTTTCGATTAGTATTTTATAAATATTTATTGTCCGATTTATTTTTTATTTTTTATTCCATCTAACACTACCGTTAATCGTTAAATATTTTTCAACAAAATATATTATAACAAAATTTAATTCGATCATTTAAAAAAGAAAATTTTGATAATTATTAAAAATATTTTCTTTTTAAGATAACATCGTTGTCGTAAATTTAACGAAAGAAACAAACTTAAAATAAATTCGTAAGAAAATTATGAAACATTTGTTTCCTTAAATTTACAAACGAATTTATTTACAAATAATTAACCGTTTTCATTTTGTTAATTATAATTCTGTTTTAGTTTATTCGTTTCAAAGTTCACGATACATTTAACGTTTAGATCTTTAACGTTGAACGAAATTTGATTTAGTTTACCTTCACGTTCAATTCTCTTTCTATTTTTCATTTCTATTTTCTCTCTCAGAGTTTTCTTTCTTTTTCTTCTTTTTTTTTTTTTTTTTTATAAGACGAACTTATTCCCTAGATTTTCTCAAAGGCCAACATTGACCATTACTCTTCCTGCTACCAAGAAGCATCGATTTTTTATACTCAACTACGTTCCTGTGTATGCTACCCGAGAATCCAAGTAGTACGAATCAATAATTGTACGACTCACTATCTTCTTCTAGATACTTTGTATCGTAACACGATTTAAATTAAAACAATAAGAAATGAATTAATTGAATTGATTTAATTATTATTCTCTCGACATCGTACTACAATTTAATAATAATTAAACGTTTGTAATATCTAACAATAAACTATAATAATCATGAAATAATGTATATGAAATATAATTGAATCTAATTCATTATTATATATTCCTCGAGTATATATTAATGATTTAATCATTATTTTCATATATGTATAAAATATTAAAGTTTTCAATTTTCAAACAAATTAGAGAATAATTATAATTAATATAAATGATATGTAAAATTCAATTATGATATTATTTGTTTAGAAAGAGATACCTTAGACAAACGATAAAATTATTACGTAAATTGTTTTGTTTTGAAAGAGTAATCATAGATAAGTGATACGATATTAAAATTCATTCATCAATTTTAATCATTTACAAACATTCACGCGAATGCGAATATACATATACATATATATATATATATAAAGTAAACGTTTCGAAGTATGCCACTGTAATCAATTTATGCGCAACACGTTAACTCGAGATATCGAGTATGTGAAAACTCGTTTGTTCTACGCAGTTTAATTGTCAGTCGTTCCTTTCACTCGAAAATCATAATAAATATTTATACAAAATAGATAGTAGATACAACATTTTAATATGAAAATCAATTTATATTGAATACTGGTCAACTATACGAGTAATTCATTTTTTTTTATCGCGAGTAATGTGTGACGCGTATATTAAAAAAAAATATATATATAATATTAATAATTATGATCTATATATATTTTACGATATAAATAAAAATACATATCAAGAGTGCACGTACTCG